AGCTCCCATACTATCTGCTGTTAGATGCAAGAACATTCATTGGGACTCAGGAGAACACAGTCATTTAAAAGAATCTGTTTTGCTAGAATTCATGTATCCTAGCCGAGTTTTAATTTCCTTTCTCTTCAATGAAAACTACAAACTGGGTTACATATTGTCGAGTTGGCCTTAAACTAAAATTAGTTATTGCTCAGTTATTCCCAAAACTACTAGACTACCATTATCCTAGTATATCTTGTCCACAGTGCACCATTGTCAATAAAAGCTTGGTGTTTATAGCTTCAACTTTGGTACTATTCAGAGTACTTTTCTGTACCAAAGACAGTAGAACATAAATGTGAAGGCTTTATGTAAGTGCCAGTTCAATGTGTTGTTTAGGTGTTGTCTTCAACATTTGGGCTTTGCCACCAGTTTGCAGAAAGCCTTTATGTTCTTGACAACTGGATGAGTTCTTTGGGGATTACTGAAGAAGTCCTTTGGAAAACAACTTGCCAAAGACCAGCCTCAGCTTGGAAAGGGGTTCTGAGAAAAAGAGTGTCTGGGGGGAAGGAAAACAAAGGACTTGAAGTCAAATTGTGTCTCTAAGATGGCAGCCTATGTTCTGCTCAAGACAGCTTTCCAGACTACTTTCTCTAAGTTCTGTTCTCTCTGAAGATCCCCAGACAACTCTCTCTAGACACTTTCTCTTGCTATTTTCTCTTCAAGACCGGTCTCCCAGCAGTTCTTTTTTGCTAATTTAGACAATTCTCTGGATGGCTCACCTCTTACAGATCATAAGCCCAGTCTTTTATTTTACATATCAATCCAGTCATTTATTCCAGGGCCCTTTTAATTATCTTATGAATCAGCATCCTCTTTTGTCTAAGCTCCATCCCACAGTTAACTGACAACAGCCAGGTATGCTCTGCCCCACAGTTACCTGGCAGCAGCCAGGTATGCCTGATTACTATAAAAGGGGCTGATTGCCTCCTCTTTGCCCTCTTGCTCTTGCCTTCTTGCTTTCCCTGTGTCCCCTCTCCCATTCTCCTCTCTTTCCCCACTCTCTCCCCCTCTCTCTCTCCACATACTCATGGCCAGCCTCTCCTCCTCTATTCCTCTCTCTCTCTCTCTCTCTCTCTCTCTCTCTCTCTCTCTCTCTCCCCTTTCTGTACCTCTAGTACCTCTCCTACCCTCTTAACACCCCTCCCTGTGACCTGAATAAACTCTGTTCTATACATACCATCGTCTGACTGGTCATTCAGGGGGAAGGGATGCCTCAGCATGGACCTGCCAAGGCACCCCCTTCCTCACACCTCACCACACATCCACCAAAATATATCCCTTCTCTTTATCTTTTCATAAACACGTCATATGGTGCTGAGATTCAGATTTAGAAACCCTACAGGTTTACATCCCCCCCTTTCTCCCATATGGAGATCCAACACTCACTATCCCAAACTTCGGAGAACTAGCAAGCCCCCTTTCTCCCCTGGTCAGAGTAAACATCCCCATGGTCCCAGAGGAGAATTCTTGAGCTCGGAGCTACACCTGTGCTGCCCTTGAAGATGGAAACATTGTTTTCACTGACCCTTATTCTAGGCTTTTTCCCTTGGATTGGGTGAGATTTTCCTCTCTCCTTTAAGACAGTTTCTTTCTCACTGCCAAGAATACTCAGGCCTGGGTAAACTGCTCTCTGTAGCTCAGGGGCAGCAGCTCAGAGCACTGCTCCTAGCCAGTCATATGATAACCTGGTGGTCAGGCAAATTTCTCGGGTTATTAATAATACCTTCAGGACGATGGTAGGGGTAACCGTATTCTCACCCATGGGTTGGTCTTTGTTGCCTTGTCCCTGCTTACTGGGATGTCTTGGTCTAATTCACAGTAAGCAGAAAGCCACATCTCTGCATGACCACTAAACTGACACTTTAAAGCAACTGTCTTGCTAGCAATCAGTAGCATAGTCTTCCCCCTACTCCTCCCCTCCTTCATTTGCTCACTCCCATTGTGGCCACTGCAGCCACTACAGCCACTGGTTCACTGTATGAAAAGCAGGTCTGGCTCCACCTCTGCCAGGCACTCTGCCTGCTGAGACCCTCATTTTCCCACGCACACATGACCATCCTCCCTCCCATGTGTGCAAGTTCTCTCTCTCTCTCTCTCTCTCTCTCTCTCTCTCTCTCTCC